TGAGCAAAGATTTTGATTTGGCTAAATGCGAGCAACTGCCTGGATCGTCAACAGGTAACACAATCTATTATATTATAGTCGTTTGTATAAGTTGTATATTGTAATATGATTTGGAATGATTTGAAAAAACCATTAACTACATTTATTAGAGGCTTTCATGTTTCTATCACGAAACTCTTAGAGGGAGACGTCTCCAAACCCATAAAGTATATATTTATTCTTGATCAACAGTCGATATAGAAATGTCCGTCTGTTTTAAAGCAAAGTTCCCTAAATTCTAAAGCTAGGTCATAGCTTCGTCTTTGTGTTGCCGTCAGTGAAAAGCAGTCGGATCGGACCCGTATATCATATAGTTTTAATAAGACTGATCAGCTAAAATTAAAGCCTTATTGTTCTTTAACAAATGTTGATCGAACTTGGCATTCACGAGCTTCCTGTCACCGTAAAATGACTTGCATGGAAAACTTTTCGCTTTCCAATATATTTTCAGCTTCATCTAAAATATTCCACAAGAGCGTATTAAATCTTACTACTATGTCTTCCTATAGGAACAGTGGAGTAGAAATAAAGCTTTTGTAAAACGGCATTTCTAAGCCATATTTCTTCGATTAAGTTTTGAATAAATGAATGAATACTTGAATAAAATATTAGATAAACATCAAAAATATCCTTAAACGAAAGTGAAGTTGAGATTTAACCGTTCAACACGTTTACATTTGTCTTTTTTGTACTATAATTTAGTTTTTGGAAATGCACTTCGAAGTTGCCTGAAAATTAATTTTTGTGAATATTTTTATTTCATAACAAATTTTCATTTCGCAATATTTAAATTAATTAAAATTATTATACATATTTTGCCAAATTCAATTTTGCGATCAAGTAGACAAGCATACAGAAGTGCAGTGCGATTTATGATATACTTATCCTAAGACATTCCCATATACTCTAGATTCTGAGTGCAATACAGTTGAGTCCGTTCAGTCCTTTGGCACTCGACTGTGTAAAAGTTATTGCCACCAACGACGACGCACGCTGAACGGTTGCAGTCCTTGCCAGTTGCTGGATGTTTTGGACGAGGTCAGTACAGAGCAGAGTGTGACTACACATGGTTCCGGTGAAGGCAAAGCCAGGCTAACTGAGGTGCCGGCCATGGTCAAAATAGAGGCCAGCAGTGCAGACGATGGTACGCCGGACTGGGACGAAATGTGCAAGACTCTCTGCAAAACTGGCGATGGCGGGTCTTTGTGCAACTGTGATTTATCGCCGTTTTTCACCTAAGCCCACAGCTTAGCTGAAAGGTATATAAATCACAACCCAATTATATATTCAACTATATAATATTTCTGTTGTTACTTTGTTGTACACTAAAATATACATTTTGATTTTTTTGCCGCACTCCGCGACAATTTCCATTTGTGTTTATGCTAGTGTTGTCTTTATATTCACTGTTGTTAATTGCGAAACTTTAGTTGAATTGTATAAAAGTGACGGCAAAAACGTAAATCTATATGAAAATACAATTATATGCGCGGTCCAGAAAGCCGCCGCGAGCAAAAAACAAAATGAAATTCCCTATGCGAATCAATTAATTTGTAATTAATTTCAATTAAAAACAAATATGCTATGCAATATAGTAAACTAACTAAGCAAAAAAGAAAAAAACCAAAAAAAAAAAAACAAAAACAAAACAAATAAGCAAAACATAAAAATCAACACTTCAAAATTAAAGTGCTCAGCTCGTAGGAGAGAAACAGCAAAATCACAAAAGGGCTTCCAGTGCGGCATTGGCATCCATGGGAGACTGTCAATTCGGCTAACCAGATGCAGATGTCGGCACAAATAAAACCTAAGGATTAGTTGTAGCATCCGCCAGTTTGGCGGATTGGGATGGAGCAAAGCGTAGAAATCACAACCAATTAATATCAAAAATACACAACATATCGTCGTAAACCAATTATTTACATTAAAAAACACGCTACAATAATAAAAACTTTAACTATTATAATATCAATTTTTGGTTTAATTAATGGAATCAGCATATCAATTTTACAATGGCAGAAGAAAAAAGTTGATAAGCATTAAATTTTGAAATAATATATCTATAATTTTGTCTAAAATACAAATCAGCATCAATTATGTGTAACAATTATAAATGTTAACCAAGTGTTTAGTGTTGGCTATTGAACAACCCATATGAATGAATCAATATATATATATATGCATACATATGAATATACATATATAGCTAATTTGGTCTATACAAAATGAGTTGCGATTGCAAATCAGAGGCTCACATTAAGAAAAGCGACCCAACGTTTTTCGAGGAAGACATCAATTAAATAAGTGTATTTACTGCAAATATCTCAATGTGCATAACTATATATAAACATATATTTATATATACATATATATATTATATATCATAAAATATTCTATATATGCTAAAAAAAAAAATGTTTGGAAGACATTTTTTCGCATTGTTTGAAATAGAAGACAATTTCAGCAAACAACAACAAGCATTTTGGAAGACATGCGTCAATTGCAATACCAACATCTCTTGCAATTTATTTCTTAAGAGCTTAAGCGTAGATTACCAGTCAAAAAAAAAAAAAAATTTGAAAAACTTTTATTTATTTATATTTAAAGGCTAACACACGTTGTTGTGTCGTACGCGACGCTGTGACAGACAATAATTAAATATACAATAATATGAATGTTTTAAATGTGTAAAGTTTTCAATAACATCATTGGCTACACTGAAACTAAATCGTATATACATGTTAGAAAAAATATTTATAATCTGGCACTTCTTAAATGTTTGTAATTGCACAATTAGTTACGAAAAAAAAGAAAGAAAAAAGGAAAAAGAAAAATGCAGCAGAGATTACAATTTTTCAGAGCACACTTGTTTAAAATTTACTGCGGCTTCAATATATCAATGTGTAGCAAGTTAATAAAAACATTATCAATATTCATTATAATCTAGTATATCGTAATGCACTTTACATTTATGTATATGTATATGTTAGGTGTTGCGTTTCTGCCATGAATTCAGCGGCCAAAAATCACTGAGTTTCAAAAATAGCTCAAATAATAATACAAACTTTATAATTATAATAAATATAAAAGAAAATTTAGTGAACAACATCATCATCAATTACGAAATAACAACTAAAATTCGAAAAAAAAAAAAAAAGTATTTCTCGTTTTAGTTCCAGTAATTGGCATAGAATTGATGCCAGAGTGTGTAACATCAGCAACAACAGATATAACTATAATTAACAAAAATTAGCAGCAAAGTAAATAAATATTATGGCAAAGACAAGCTTAAATAGGTTAGTCAAAATCCATAAACTGTAAAACAACCGGAAGGAGAAACTTAAAGACAACCACATATTAATAACCATACTACTGAACAACCCTACATAAAAGTCAAATAAATATATTATGTGTTAAATGTTGTAAAGCCCCTCTAAAAATTCGAGTTTTATTTTGAAGGGTACAAATAATAATGAAGACAGAGAAAACTTTTGCCTGCAATCCAATTCCAGTAACAAAAGTTTTCTGTTTTTTTTTTTTAACTTTCACCCAACTAGGGAAGAAGTTACCGATGTTTTGAATTTGCCGAAAAAATATGTAAAAATATATCTTTATCGGATAGAAAGGAAAGCATTTTATTTCATAAGTTCAAACATTTTCCAAGCAAAATCGTATATTAATTACGATCGTAATTTTTATTGCTTCGCACTCCTTGAAATGTAGTATCCATATGTGTTTTCACACTTCGTCCTTATACTCCAATCAAAGGATTTCTGACTTTAACAGTGTTAGAGAAAATTTTGGACACTTTTTTCATATTGGTAATGTGTATTAATACTAAAAATACTATTATAACAAATCCGTTCATAATAGTACAGAATAGTACTGTTTGGCCTTTTATCGTTTTGGTATAAGTCCTTACTAAGTACTAAAAAGCTTTCAGCTTTGTCATGCACCACTTACGCTAATGAACTGCACTTGGGAAGTTACCAATGTTTTCAAATTGCCGAAAAATTTTTGAAAATATATATCTTATTCGGATAGAATTAAAATTATTTGCATTACATATCAAACATTTTCCAAGTTTCTCTGTTTTTAAATCCTTATCCCTATATTCGAATCATAGTGTTTCCAGCCCTAATTGTGTTGAGATCATTTTGGACTCTTTCCCATTAGGAATGTGCATTAAGATTACAAAAATTTATTCAGAGTAGCACAGAATAGTACTGTTTGGCCTTTTATCGTTTTGGTATTAGTCCTAGCTAAGTACTAAAAAGCTCTCATCGTTACCGCGCACCACGTACGATAATGAGCTGCTTGCTGCTATACGATAAGCAAGCAGTTTAAAGCAGGCCATTGTGCAGAATACACCGCTTGGGGAAATTTTTCAAATATACACTGAGCGATAATTTTTATTAAAACAAATTTAACTTTTCTATGTTAATATATTTACTTTATTATTTTCATACGCATTTTATAAAAGAAAATATACTTAAAATGGACGTGTTTGTATAAGTATTAGTGTTTCATTGTGTTGTGTACAATTATTTAACAAAAAGGCTTGGCAAGCTTTTAAATTATGCCCATAATTCTCGAATTAAACATATTAACTAACTTATTAAAACAAGGAAGATGCAAGTATTGTGCTTTACGCCTTAGACGTGAGTTTCATTTTTCTTGTTAAGTACAAAATAAGGCTAGTGTGGCATTAAATGTTATTCCGATTTTTTCTTTAGTTACATTGCTAATTCAACACATTTGCAATGCCGAGTGTAGAAAACAAGATAAAACTAAATACGCTAGGATAACGATCAAATTATTTAAAGACAGCGTATAAATTCTTGGTTAGTTTATACATTGTGTAATAATTATCATATGCATATGTTACGTACGCATACGTATATTTCATATAGCAAAAATTTTTGCTTATCCGACGCATATAAAAGTTAACATTATTACAGTTACAATTGGCAAGTTTAGTTTATATATTTGTTGTTGTAATTCGTTAAGTTGTTAGTAGAAAATTTCGAGTCATTATATTGCTGAGTGTCTTTTTGTCTGGTCTTTGAGTTAAGTTTACCAACTATCCTCCAATTGGTATTTTCACTCTGAGGTCTACGAAGACCATTACGTGTATTAGCTAATCGACATGCGATTAGTTACACGTCTTCATCATTCGCCCGCCAGTTCGTCAATGCGACAGCGCACAGCGTGTTCCAATACCTCCAGGCTGCCGTAGTCCAGTTCCTTGACCAGGCACAATGTGGCAGACAGTAAATTGGAGTTCTGGCAAGGCAGGGGATGTTAATGTACAAGTATCTTAACGGTTCATATGCGGTTACTCACTCGATTGACGGGCCGTCGATGACAGCCTGCAAAATGATTCATGACGGTGGCCGAAACTGTGCTAACCGCATCACTATAGCGACCCTCGGGGCGCCTGCATGAACAAAGTTTTTGATTACAAAGTGCTAAACGATTCATTGAGATTATCAGCTGGTGCCTTACCTAGATCTGGTGCGTTCCTCGACCTCCCATTCTCCCCCATTCTCTCGAGCACTTCCATTCCGATAAGCGTAACGCTCGGCTCCGGTCTCGGGGCCCGCGCTGCGTCGCTGCGGATAATGCAGCTGCATTTGGCTGCCGTATGGATTATGATGCACCTGTGGTGCCTGGTGCTGATGCTCCTCCCATTCGGTTAGATCGGTTTGACTGTGACGATAATGCGCCGGATAAGTTGCCCGATCCGACTGATAGTATTCCTGTATAAGAAAGGAAGGAATACCATAATTAAAACGCGTAACTATTCTGGCTTAATGTCTACCATCCTTCTGCATCCAATCGTCTTTTTATTTGCGATGTTTACCTTCATCGAGTGTGAGGATATGCTAGGCGGGAGGGGCGTTGGACGCGTCTCTCTGTAGCCAACATGTGGACTCTCCTGATCAGAGCCCGGCGAGTGCTAATCGATGTGGTTATCGTTATCGTTATCGTTATCGTTGTTGTGTTGGTTAGTGTTGTGGTGCGTTTGTTTTAGTTGTGGGAGAGGAGCACAAAGAATTTGTTAGTTATGTTGCCTGCCACTTGAATACCAGACCATCTCACATTTCGAATAATGCTGAGCTTGTTGCCGTTGCCAAGCGCTGCAGAGACTACAAGCATTTAAATCTCCAAAATGTGCTTAGGGCCGGGGGCCTAACCCCTTTTTGTTATTCTTTCATTTCTTTGGCCATTGCTTGTTGAATACATAATGACCTATTTTATGAACTAGTCATGTTTCTCGTTTCTCGTCTCGTCTCGGTTTCAGTTTCTCTCTGCTCGCCATTCGCTCAAAGTCAAATGTGGCTGTTGCGGCACGACTTAACCCAGAAACCCAAGCCCCCGCCCGACAATGGGCCGAGTGGCTGGCTAGCTGGCTGGCTGGAAATGAAAAACTGAAGAACCTTAACCATGCCAGTGCCACATCGCGTGACTCGTTCACGCGTAACACGGCGCCCAATAGGGCTGAGGGCTCAAGTGTGACGTGTACACGCCCAAAAAAACCCAACTAGCTACACATTGACTAGGCTCGGCAACAAGCTCATCATTATAATATAAATGGTAAAATGGTTGGCTGATTTGCTAGGCTTCTTGATAGTATGAGGATCTTACATCATATTGATGAAAGGAAGTGCGTTGCTCTTTAGTAATGGTGTTATATTTGGGCGATGGCGGGTGCGCGGGTTCCTGTTAAATAGTAAAGAATATGGAAAGCCAAATTTGTTAGTGTGTATACTCTACTCTTCTTTCCTATTCACTGACTGATAAACGCTTACAGCAACTATAAACAGTTGAGTTTCATACCGCAACCATGATGCATAATGCGTTGTACAACACTTAACTGTTATTTGATTTCCCTGCCTATATATCTTTTATTTTAACAAAACTTTATCTTCTGTTAACCAAAGCAAATATTATAACAATCCGTCTGTCCTTTTTATTTGAAAAATAATATACTATGTTAGATTCAGTCAAGAATATTTCCCAGTTCGTAGCTCATTTAATGCATTGTTTTAGTATTATATTAAATCCTTATTTAAAGTCTATTATCGGTTACTCCCCCGAGAATTCCACTCATTTATCCCACTCCCGTCTGCCGCAAAACTCAATTAGGGCCAGTCATAAACAGTTCGACCTGAAACTATTCGTTCGTTTACCTTTGTGGGTGTCGGGGGCATTGAGTTTTGCAATTGATTGCTATATAAATCGCTGACATTATTGGTTCCATCGGTGTTGTTAGCAAGCGGACTTGCTAATTGTGGCGGCTTGTTAATAATTAGGAAAAAATATGCTTTGTTAAATGCCAGGCGTTATTAGAGCCCGAATTAAGGGGCGTGTTGTGAGTAAGTCAGTGTGTTAGACAGCGCACCCAATGTGACTGTGATTTGGCGAACAGCATTGGAATTCAGTTACCTCTTTCATGGGACTGGGACTGCCCCTCTGTGTTAGCTGTTGCTGCTGCTGTGGTGATGGCTGTTGCGGTGAGTGCTGTGGATAGCTTGGCGGCTGCGACTGCGACTGCTGCTGTTGTATTTGCTGGGGAGATGTGCGTTGCTGTTGCTGCTGCTGCTGCTGCTGCTGCTGCTGCTGCTGCTGCTGCTGCTGCCTGGCCTCATAGGCATCCTCATAGACATCCTCCTCGGCCATTTGAGAGCTGCTGTTGCGTAAGGCATCATCCAACTCCTCCTGCGTGACCTCCACATTGTCGAGCTTCTTGAGGTTGGGCAATGCGCGTAACACCATCGCCCGATAGCTGCAGTTCACAGTTACAGTAGGTGTTATGTGCCACACACATCTCACAATACTTACTTTGGTCCCGCACGCTCGCAGCATGGATTCTCCTCTAGCCACAGATATTTGAGCGCCGGTAAGTTTTGTAGGTAACCAATTTCATTGATATTTTGAATATTGTTTTTACGTAAATACAGCTCCTGTAGTTTAGTGCAGTCTTCAAAGGGTGCCAAAGTGCTGATCTTATTGACGCTGCAAAGAAATTACCATTTGGGGTTATACAACACTTTTATGATTATGTTACGTGAACACATGGGAAATTTAATTTAGTCATGATTATCCGGAACTGTGTTAAGCGTGAACCATTTTTTGCCGGTGCGCTAAGTGGTTGACTTTATATCTTTATTATCCGTAAGCCAAAGAATAGCTTACGAATAATATAAAGAGTAGCTTACAGATAATATAGGTAAATGACGGTTTACAGAGGTATACCATAAAAATATAAACATTTGTCCTTTGCTCATGTGAGCTCTTTTAACAGGGATTATCGATTATCCGTAATAAGCGCGGTTCCGAACCTCGCGGATAACAGAGGCTTAAATGCAAATGCAAATCTGATATGGATATAAGATAAATAATTGTATATCGTATGTTAGAAATCTACTTTAAAAGTGCATCTCTTTGCCTGTAGAACATTTCAACATTGTGGTAGTCATTCTCTTCTTTCAGTGTTCTTTTCTTCCTTGTTAAGTGACAAAGACGCCCCGGTTAAGTGCCATGAATCATTTCAAAGTTATGCTGAGGCGGCGGCCACACAAAAGACACAAAAGATTTGGTAGCCAAGCGGCTGCTGGAAGAGGTCATTAACTCCATGCAGTCAACTTTCTTTAAAAGGTTCTTAATGTGTACCGCTAGAGCTACCAGAGAATATGGCATATTGAGCTCTCTGCCAGCTGGGCAATAATATCAATAATATCGTTGTTGTCGTTGTTGTCGTCGTTGTCGTCGTTTATCATTGGAAGATAGTCATCGTCTAGGTCAGTTCGCAGTTTCAGCGCCAATTTTCATTGTTAGCTCGCACTTTTTTCAACGCTGATTACTAACGATACAATTGACGATTCGGCGGCGTTGCGCGTGCTTTGATTGTTTCTTTTTATAGCTGTTGCTTGCCGCTTGTTATGCGATAAGATAACAACTGATAGCTGTGCGAAGTCTTGCAAGAGCCTCGGGCAATTGAAGCCACAGCAACTAGAATGTATAAGTATAAAAATAAAACCGCAGCAGACGCTTCTAAACTTAGCAGACCCGATACCTATCCCGTTTGTAAATGGCACACGGGTGCATTGCCATAGCAAGTTTTCTTCTCCTCTCTTTTTTGTTTTTTTTTGGAGGCGCTGTAATTCCAACAAACCTATTTATAGAGTCAGTCAGAAACTGGCACACGATACTCAAAGGAAACCATAAACCGAAGTGCCGTACTAATATGCATAGTTAGCGCCACATTAGAGTTATCAATGTCTTTCAAGGTTGGCACTTGGTTTTCAAGTAGCCGGGCCGGGGGGCAAATATTAAGGGAATCCAGCTAAGTGCCAACGGCACGCAATGCAAATCAATACAAAGTTTTTCCTATAGTAATTTATCCAAGCATGCAACGCAGGCGAATGAGTAATACTTGAATATACTACGTGGGGGCAAGAACTGATTTATGGAAAGTCGACTCCAAGCGCCAAGCTGACAGCCTGGCGGCGGCGACGACCCACGCCTGCCATAGCCTAGCACAACAATCTAAACAACTCTCACGACTCCATGGAGTCGCCCAGAAATGGCAAACAAAGTGGGCTTAACAAAATTTTTGTAAAGCCTGCTCAGCCGCATGAAACAAAAAGGGTTTCCTGGTTTAATGCAACGGTTGGGCTATGAAAGTCAGGGCCCTTGACTCATGGCGTGTCCCAAGACTTTGCTTATCTATCGACTGATAAGTTTAATACACAAAGTTCCCTCGAGTGTGTCAATTAGTTCGTTGATAACGATTAAGTAGGTTACAACTGAAAGCTTTTAAGTCTTATAAATATAAAAACGTGTTTCGTAGAGATATAGCAAAAGCAGTGAGAGCCGAGCAGGTGACACGAATGTAAATGTATCTGAAATATAAAATGCAAATGAGATTTCTACAAAGAAGAATAGATGCCGTAGAATAAATAGCCTTGCAAACATGACAGATACAATATAGTATTTGTGTTGACTCATGAAAGAACTAATCTTAAGATTAATCCCTTCTAAGACTGCTTTATAAAAGTAAATTCTTTGTCGGTAACATGTTGACCAATTGTAATTATCGACTTTGGTCAATGTATTATCCACAAGCCAAACAATTTGTACTTAAAATACTCTATTTTTGAGCTATCGTTTGTATGACAGATACGTGATTGCTTTCCATTGTACCCACATTGATATATGCACGTTCTGCTTGCAACGAAGGCAAGTTAAATTATCGAGATACTTTAAATAAAGCAAACAAAGATATTCAGGCATGACTAATCGACTAAGCTTTGGCAACCTGATCAAAAGTATATGTGTATATATATACATATACGAAATCGCGGCTGCCTACATTAAGGAGGAAGTCCACTCCTACTTATTTTAATGGGAATATCTTTTAAGTTAGTCAACGCGATTTTCTTTTCCTGTACCTTTTCCTTCATGCCGATTATAAACCATCTGCTCGCCACAAGTTTATTGCAAAGCCTTGCTGTTCGGTTCTTATAAGGCAGGCACATAAAAAACACATTATTAAGCTTGATATATACATTTTAAGTTGTGCAATATGTTGTCCATATGACAGACAGTTGGCTTGCAAATCGATCGCAACGACCTTGACAGTCAAAACAATGATGTTTGCCTTAAAAGGCCGCAATCTACAAGGCAACAGCAACAGCAGCAACAACAACATGCACACAAGAAAACTTAAAGATACTTCACATAATCATCACCTACATGCAAGCGCAGATGTATGTATATGTTATGTGCCATTGTATCTGTGTGCGAATATATTGTATCTTGTATCTTGTATCTGTAGCAGCAAGTGCGCTACACCCCCTACGCACTCTGCTGCTGCGGCGCTGCGGCCCACGCGAATCTGTTGGGCACTCGCTGGACGCAAGACTGAAAACCTACAAAACACCAAGTCGCTGTTGCCAATTTTGGTGCTCCCACGACTTTTGTTATGTTTCATGTTGTTGCTGTTTACTATTGTTGCTGCTTTTTGCATTAATTACGCGCTTGAGCGTTCAAAAGTTTTTTCGCTTGCCTGCGAATGATGATGCCGTTGCCTCTCGCTGTGCGAATGACATCATTTGAACACAAGTATCTGACGGTTAGAAACTTACGCCCAGATAGCTTTCTCTCTCTCTCTCTCACACTCCCACAATGAAAAGATTTTTTCTAATGCGGCAGGCGGGTAATTGAATTTGAAATCAATCAAAGCGCAGCACAGGAAATTAGCTTGTCTAATCTGTAACAGTCCCAAATTGGATAAAATATAGAGAAATAAGAGACTTACCTAAGCGCCAAAACTTCAACACCGCGCATGCGTTTGATTATATTAACATCGCTGAGATCACTGCCCCTATAAAGACAAGAAAGGAATTTAAATAAAATATCAAAAATAATGATGATATAATAATGATTTTATAATAACAGTTGACATTTACGGATAAAATGCGTATACAATAACGGAAGCAATAAGATCGCATTTACTTAAAATGTACCCTGAGGTTGTGGATTTTTAGTTTTGGGAAGTTTGTTGCTTAAACGTCAGAAAGTCTTTTTAGAACTGTTATGACCGTATTGCGGATCAAAAACGGATACAAATCTTGAACTCATCATCGGATACTCTTAGACAAAGATTTAGCTTAGACAAAGATTTTGATATGGTACATTTTGGTCTAAGCATCCATCAATTTAGAGAATAAGCCGATAAAATCAGATACAATCAACCATTAGATACATTTTAAAGAAGATATTTCTCTAAGCAGCTTATTCTAGCTGATAAGCTTAAAGACGCATTTCAAAAACCAGTTTCAAATGCCTCCTTTTTTACAGCCATAAAAGCCTTGAAGCACCACTAGCAAAAGGCTTCAAAGTTCTAAGCCGTTTGCCACTTAACCCCTTGGGCTGCCGTGCTTTGGCACAGATAAGCAGGCAGGCAGGCAGTCAGGCAGGCAGTCAGGCAGGGAGTCAGGCGAAGTGGACAACGTGGGCCAAACTGGTTAGGAGCTGCGTGGCTAGGTGGCTGCTGTCAATTGAGGGATTCGGGTCAGTCAGGCTGGAGGTGTGGTGAAAGCGTCAAAGTGGGCAGATCTCCCAGATCATGGGCACTTTTGCTAGGCTTTCACTGCGGCCAATGGGTTAACAATTAATACGCTCAACTTACCAGCAATTTAGTTTCTTAATTAAGCCCAGATCCGATTGCTTGGCACGTGCAATCACCATTTCCTCCGTTAGACGCGACATTTTAACAATTCAATTCTGTTGGCCACTAAATAACAAACGATGTAAATACTATTCAAGTACAGTGGCTGCAAACAGGTGTGCCCCGGGGTTTGGTTTTGTATGTATGTTTTGTATGTAAACTGAATTTTGACTCTCTCTCGCTCGGCTTGTGTCTGTTTGTGTTTTTAGAATTGACCGTTTTTAGGCAACGAAAGGTGAACAACAAATGTATACAACAGGTTACTACGATAATTGTTGTTGTTGTTGGTACTATTATTGAAATCAGCAGCGTGGCGTAGTCGTCTTGCGTAGGCGAGCTGCAATTATTAACAATCACAAGTTCCTGCGCAGCGTTTTGTATCTTACAAATGGAACAGGTACAAACAGTGCCTTGCACTACGTACTACCAGAAAGCTGGAACTGCGCTGGCGTAACTCACACGGATGACTAAGCGCCTTGTTGCTGCTACTGCTGTTGCTGCCGCTGCTGTTGTTGTTGTTGTTGTTTTTATCGTATTGCAGCGTCTGTTGCTTTAAACTATTGCGCGTTTTTAAACTATTAACGTAATTTACTTTTTTTAGTCGCTCACTGTGTTTCTCTTTCTTCCCGTTTGTCTGCACAACTTTTACTAATGAAATTAGCCGTTTAGTTTTATATATACTTATGATATATGCACTCCTTTTGCCAGAAAAGACTAAAAATTTTGGTTGTTTCGCATCGTTTGGATCGATTTTTCGTCTGTTAAATGAATATACAACTTGATGTCGAAATATATATATATAAATTAGTATACATCTGATATATCAGTTTGTTTGCAATGTTAGAGTTTTGCTATTTGACACAAATTGAATACGCTATCTTTGTTTCATTGACTGTGTTGTGATGTTGTTTTAACAAAGATTTTCCGATTTTTCATGCACAATTTTCCTAGCTGACTTTTCACACAAACACTCGCACACACACCCATGTACTGGCGCGCTCGTTTACAGGTATTCGTATTGACTGGCTGTGTGTGTAAGAGCGAGATGGCATACGGGCGCGCACTAAAGTCGGCGTTCGGGTATCTGAGAGATACTTTCTGTAATACGTGCGCTCGAAGAGACAGCGCCGCATCGACTGGCGCTTTGGGGCTGAACGGGAGCTTTCATTGTGTTTGTTTACGAATGTTGTGCGAAAGGAAATGACTGTTGGCATGTGTGCGTGCGTGGCAGTGTCAATGGCAGTCGTTGCCGTGTACGTCCAACATGTGTATTACTCAAAAGTTATGTTAAAAATGTAATTTCATTTTGAAATCTATCTCGACAAAATGTAATTGTAATTTTGATTGGTAAACTGCAAGCAGTAATGAAATCCGCGCAGGTTTGTGCCTTGTTATCGATATATCGATGCCTAAAGAGGGTTGACTATGTTTCGATATATATTAAAACGGAAATTAATTTTGACCAGTTTTAGCCAACACTTATCCATATTATGAATATATACATAAGTTTTATTTTTAGTCATCTATCAACGCAAAATTGCGAAACTTAATTATTTTTAATTAGAAATTATTTTAACGATACTATCGTCATGATCAGCAATAGCTGCGCAATCGATAACCAAAATAGTCTGCACTCGACTGTAGCGACAGACGAAGGCTGATGACGAACGTGAAAAATATTCTAAAAATAAATTAACGATATTAAGCGTCGCATTATAGAAGCTGGGCAATACAAATTGCCAAATATACGTTGTATATAGCTAAATAAACAAGCCAAAAGCAAACATACACATTGCCAGATACTAGTTGTAAGCAAAGTCAAGCGAAAACACGTCGCGTCGTCGCCGTTTCGTGCTGATTTATTTATGAATTAATTTCTCTCTCGTATCTCGCGTAGCTGCTGGCGTTTGGGCTTTGTTCACGATTTGCTCGTCGTTGCCGTCGCCGTCGCTCGTATGTGTGTGGAATTTTGCAGCATTCATTAGTATTTGTTGTGCCGTGGGACGACAACGACGTCTCCACCTCCTCGGAAACAACGCTAACGATAACCTTGAGCGTTTACTGCGACAGGGAAAAGGGGAAATAACAATTGAGCCCGTTGAGCGAACGGCCATTAGAAGTGGAGCTGGAACTGGAGCTGGAGCTGTGCGAGGCAAAGCAAACATCTGGCGAGATAAGGGCGCCAGCAGCAATACCATATTCTCGTTTGTTTTATATGTATTGCAAAAACAGCTCGCATATTGGATAGAAGGCCCAAGATAGAACGAACGTAGGTCGATTACGTCATCATTTGAGCAATTTTATTCAAAAATCAAGTGATTTTCCTGTTCGCTATTCATTTCTAGATATTGGCCCAGTCGCCCAAGTTCTTATTTGTGTGCGTGTTTGTGTGTATGAGTGCTGGCAATACGCCTAAAATAGGAAAACAGTGGCAAGATGATTCATGTGGGCGAAAACACCTGGAACCTGCGGATACTTATCACAGATCTGCAGGTGGAGAAAACGTTGCGTGTGCGCGGTGACCAGCACATTGGCGGCGTCATGCTGCAGCTGGTCGATCCAGAGATGCCCAAGGATTGGTCCGATCATGCGCTCTGGTGGCCCGCTAAAAATATTTGGCTAACGCGCACGCGCTCCACCCTCGACCAGGCGGGCGTACAATCCGATTCATTTCTCTACTTCACGCCCATGCACAAAACGCTGCGTGTGCAGATGCCGGACTTACGTTATCTAGATTATCGTGTGAATTTCTCTATCAAAACATTTGGCGCCGTGGTGAATCTATGCAAAGATCTGGATATACGCTACCCGGAGGAATTATCGTTGTGTAAGCCCGTCGAGCAGGAACATTTAAAGAAGAACTTCTCCAAGTTGCCGCAAAAGATGATACCCGTCGCAGAGGCCAATGGCACCGCATATGTGCAACCTGCAGCGGACACCAACTCCTTTGTGCCCATTACGAATGCCTATAATGGCAGCAACGGCAGCCTGGACCGATCACATGGCAACGGCAATCTGCTGTGCGCACCAACGTCTCCATACGCAACGACACCCCGGCGTTCGGCCACTGCGCCTGGCACGCCCATTAGCTCGCCAACAGGCACTTGGAGGCATAACAACAGTCACAATGGCTATGTCGCCTACGACTCTGGTTCAATTTTTGGCGATTTGCAAGAGAATTTGGCCGTCTCACCACGCTCGCCCAGTCCCGATGTGCGCGCTCGCCTTGTGCGGCCCAAGACGCTGGTGCAAAAGGCACGCCTAAACGTCGGTTGGCTGGACTCATCGCTGTCCATCATGGAGCAGGGTGTGCGTGAATTTGATACGCTCTGCTTGCGCTTCAAGTACTACACGTTCTTCGATCTGAATCCAAAGTACGATCAGGTGCGCATCAACCAGCTGTACGAGCAGGCAAAATGGTCTATACTCAACGAAGAGCTGGACTGCACCGAGGAGGAGACACTGATGTTTGCCGCGCTGCAATTTCAAGTCAATCATCAAACGGATTTACATCCTCCCGGCATTGATTCCGGCTTGGATACCTCCAACCAAAAGAACGGCGGCGACGACGACATCGACTCGGCGCTCAACGAGCTGCAAATCACACTGGAGGGTCCAAATGCCGGAACTGATGCGGGCAATATAACACGCATACCCGAGCTATCGGACTATTTGCGTTTCCTGAAGCCACAGCTGTTCACGCTGAGGGGCTACAAGCGCTACTTCTTCACGTATCGCGACCTGCATCTGCACCTGTACAAATCGCAGGAGGAGTCGCGTCGTGGTGCGCCCAGCATCACCATCAATTTGCGCGGCTGTGAGGTAACGCCCGATGTGCATTTAGCCCAAGGCAAGTTTGGCATAAGGCTAGAAGTGTCGCCGGAGGGACGCAACGGACCAAACAGCGAATTCTGGGTGCGCTGCGAGAATGAGGAACAATATGCCAAATGGATGGCTGCCTGTCGTCTGGCTGCCAAGGGACGCTCGTTGGCCGACAGCAGCTACGAGAGTGAAGTAAGCAGCATACGCTCGCTGCTCCAAATGCAGAAGCCACAGGCACAGGCGGCGCCATTGAACATCAATCCGCGCGTCGTGGACGCCAACGATTACCTGTCGCCCAAAATGTTGCGCAAGCTCTCCGGCAAGGCGGTGCAACGTATCCTGGAGGCACACGCCAATGTGCGCCAGCTGCAGCTAATGGAAGCCAAACTGAAGTACATACAGGCTTGGCAATCGCTCCCTGACTTTGGTGTCACGCTATTCGTCATTAAATTCGATGGTCACAAGAAGGAGGAACTTCTGGGCGTAGCGCACAATCGCATCATGCGCATGGATCTGAATACGGGCGATCACCTGAAGACCTGGCGTTACAACACAATGAAAGCCTGGAACGTTAACTGGGGCATCAAGTGCATGATGATTCAATTCCACGATGAGAACGTCGTCTTCTCTTGCCTATCCGCCGACTGCAAGGTGGTGCACGAGTTCATTGGCGGCTATATCTTTATGTCTATGCGCTCCAAAGAGAACAACCAGACGCTTAACGAGGAAATGTTCCACAAACTGACGGGTGGCTGGTCATAAGCTCGACGTCTGTTGGCCTCCGTCTTACAAGTGCCAAGCACAAACTGTCGCATGTTTAATATCTATCTGAATTAAATAATTTATGTGTGTAAATGTTATATACGCAATAGAGCCTCGCTTCTATTGGCTTCTATTGTCAACGTTAATATCTAGACTAATATGTAATATCTATAACGGAATCCACGTTGTGCCTTGAACCGAATCACTGTTCATTTTAACTGGCACGTCCAAGTCAAGTCCGTGTCCAATGTGTGTACTAAAACAAAACAAAACAAAACATAAAAAAAACTTGTTAATGTGCCTCGTTATCAATGTATTTTTAACGTAGTTAATCAACCTTTTTGTACTACTCTTCTTTTTTTATCAACCCGGAATCAAAACCGTTCAAGTGGCCTTGCAAATGCTTGCAAACTAACCAGAAATTTTATATATTGTATATTTATTAAACAAATTAATAAGCAAATAAATTATTTTTTATGTTTTTTATGATGGTAAAAAGTGAATATTGTCTCTGTATTATCGCTGTTACCAAGTAGATGAGCTATGCACTGGAAACTTGAGCAGCACTTGCGATTACTCATCGAGGGGCGTGCGAGTCCAAGTCCGTGTTGATGCAACAGCATTTAATATAAAGCCAGCAATTGTTATTAATAACATTTCAATTGAATTGATAAGCGAGCCGTCGCCACCGTCGACGACCGACTCATTGGAAGGGGCAATATATGCACAGCAGTTACCATAAAAGTAGATTATGCGCAAGTTGCATGACTTTAAACGTAGATACGTATGTTGATTGATGAGTTATGCACGCTCAAAAACGGGTGTGCTGTCTCGGGGGCAACTTCTCACAGTCGTCTGGCGCAAGGTCATAAGTGGAATGCAAATCTGAAACAGCTTGAATTTAATTCAATTAAATGTTAAGTGTGACTTCATCAGTTATAAAATGCCCATAAGGGATAAGCGCTTGATCCAAGGGTACAAATTGTTCAAAGTTGTTGACTTTACGCGGGCAACGGATTTTTTTTAAAACAACTTGGGCTGATCAATAAATCGACTAGTCTCCTGCTTCTAGCAACGTTCCCTACTTGCGTATAAAGGTATCGAAAATGCCAGTTTGCAGTATTATTCCTAACATCAATTAGTATTTTCTTGCTTTTGAAACTTGGTCACTCTGCAGACAAAGCCGCATGATTCCTGCACAGCAGGCAGCTAACAACAAATTAAAGTATTATATCCTTACTTAAATGGAGGATGAAGAGGACCCCATCGTGGAGGAGATACCCGTCTATCTATCCAAAAACCTGCAGGAAAATTTGTATTTATTTCAATACCCCACAAAAACCCAACTGCTAAATCACGACGATGCCGTTGTTGTCAACTGTTGTGTGAAACCATTTACACAGGAGGTCAAGGTGGATTTCGGTCTGAACGTAGAGTCCAATCACTACGACCGCTTCAAGGGTGAGCAATTTGCTGTAGCCGCCGATGGCAAGAACACCTACGGTGCTGCCACGCCCAAGGGCGCGGAACGACCTACCTACAAACGTGGCATCGTG